AAACTAACTGCTAACAGAGAAGTAGGGCACACAATGCGTACGAAAAGCAACAAGTATGACGATGGAAATGTTTCTTCTGGAATAGCAAACTATGACAGTCCATATCTATTTTGAAACATGTCTAGGTAAATATGTAGTTTTTTAAAGAGGTAGTCTGCTTAACGAAGCGAATGTAACCGTGCGAAGAAACGTAATGATATAAATGTACGTTTTTAATAGAGGACTRACTTGCACTAACAGGTCACGTGACCTAACTCCATTAAAAAGAGCAGCTGTGTCAAAATGAACATCACAAACGAAAAGAGCTCTTCGATATTAGGAGTTATAGCCCATAAAAAGCCAAAAAGGAGAAATGGCATTGAAAATTGGATCAAATATTTTATATAAGGATTTGTATGTTCGATTTTATGTCTAATGCAATTTATCCTATGGTCAAGGTCTCCTATGAAATGCTTCAGAAAACGCGTACCATCGCCTGTTCTTTGAAGCTTATAGAACGGAGATTGACTACAAGCCTCTACTTTGTCAACGAGTTGCCATCACATCATCAAGCTCTATCAGTATTTCGAAAAATGTGTTCGCGCTTTTAGAAATGGAATKAATCAATTCAATTTAATCGAGAGCCAAATGYGATATATACTCTGTTTACATGTAATTCAATATCGATGTAACTCTATTTTCTTGTATTTTCTATTTTCTTGTAACTCTGTTTTATTGAAATTCGCTATCTTTGTAACTCTGTATCTTTGTATCTTCGTAACTCTGTATCTTGTAACGCTAATTAGACCAAACCGTAGCAGGAGATTCTGTGTTTAACGGCTCTCATAAAAATGGCTTTTCTAAACTGGTACCGCGTTACTCGATCAACTTAGATAAGAGTTGACCATTCATTCAGTTACCCCAAGGTAACTAGTTAATAATTATTGAACCTCTTTTAGCAAACGTTTGCTAACGACCCAGATATTTTAAAAAAATGCAGTAAATTCTAAAGTCCAATTTTTTTCTGTAAAAAGGTTGTATAGAGTTCGCTGTATTTTACACAGCTTGCGAAAACTGAAAAGTGTCAATTTTTGTCGTTTTCATTCAATGCTATCGATTTTAAAGATGTTCAAAATTCAGTAACCGCTCTACGAATCGAACACATCGGATTCAATCGGATCTAAAAGTGAAAAATCTGAAAAAATCTGAAAGATAAAAATTTGACAAATTCTTAAAAGGATAGGATGCTTTTAGATACTTACGATGCCGCMCGGGTAAAGTGCAATTAAATGCAAGGTGACTTCTAGATAAATTGACGCAACAAAAAAAATATTAATTTGATATCAAATTGAGATACGACTAGACAGCTTTTACAAACCTTGACATCATTATCAGGGTATGCGAATGTTAATTTCCAAAACCTCGTTAGATTTCAAACATTATCGCAGACGAATCTCTTAGAATATTAACATTTCCTTACGTTTTTTATATTTTTAGAGCACAGAAAGAAAGCTAGCGATACTTTTTGATTTGAACCTGTTTGGTATTCTTAAGTCAATCATGATTTTATTTATCAGTGCTTTACACGCAGTATTCGTAAAGATTCTAAAGATCTCACAATAAAGGAAAAGAAACAGATCGTTAACCATTAAAGTTTTGTTCATTTATGTAAATGAGGCTCGTGCGATGCGAGTTTTGTTGGTCCACGCAGCGTCATTATTCACATCAAAGAATAGAAGAATACAAGAATTCGATGATTGGCATGCACCTACGTACTGAGCGTGATTGCGACACAATCAATATAACAAGCAGCTTTAAAAAGCCCGCTTTGCTGTAAAGCAAAGCGGGCTAAGCCGATGGCTTAGCGGTGAAAGCTACCGCCTCTCTCACATGGGACCCGAGTTCGATACCCGCCGTTCTCGGCGGTGCATATCGCATGTGAGTAGAGTTGCTTGCTCGTCCTCCAGTGCTCCTAGGTCTTCCCCGCTTCCCGGATCCTCCGCAAAGATCAACTCCTAAGGGCCACTCTGTCAATCCACCATCGATGTCGCAATACCTACGCCGTTGCCATCGTTACCAGGGCGCTAATTAGGCAAAAAAACCGCGACATTCAAGGCTTAATGTTTAAATCCTCCTAGTCAATCACTTTTAGTGATAATACATGAAGTAGATTTTGTCTTTTTGAAGTGTTCTCATATGGAAAAAARCTTTCGATTTTTTTCGTAAACTGCTGAGGYATACGGTTAAATAGAGTAGAAAAAAGCGCGCTTAGGAAATTTCCAATAAAAACTTAAATCTCCTTTCCAAGATTCATATATGCTATATTATCATGAATCATCTTTCAAATGGTAGATTTTTGAATTGATATATTATGATATAAAGTTGTTACGATTTTTTTAATTTGCTAACTGAGTAATTTTTGTGTACGTCTATGTAAAATTTACTACAATATCTTAGTACAGTGGGCGAATATGACTGATAAGAATCAATTTTCAGAAAATGAGCGATTCCTTGGACGCATTGTTGGTCACTGTTATAGCAAGAGATCTTTCATGTGCAATGATGTTCGATTCTGGAAGACTTAATCTCTCAAATAAGAAAGGGAATGTTTTGTAACGTTCGTGAGGAGGAAAACTTCTTTTTTATCCATGTCCTTTTCTTGAATCATTTAATCGTCCTGTTCAAGGTTATGGTTATCATCATCGGTATCGTAATTCCAGAAAATCTTGGTCAAAGTCGCACAAAATAGGCTCCAAACTATTGCCCGCCATCATGTTGATCGATTTGGCCGAAAACAAAAGGAAACTCATCCCCAGTCCCCCGCATCACACATTTTTTTGCTCGGCCAGCCCGTTCCGCCGCCCTACCTAATTAGCGCCCTGATCGTTCCATATATTAGGCTTATCTTTTTTTACTCRTTGCCAGACTGGCAGCAACAGTTGGCTTGGGTATCTGATTGAGTGATTTACACATTATGAACAAAAAGAGCTCAACTTCTTCGCTTTGATTTTCATTAAAATTAACTACGACGTTTTAATCTTTGATTCATTCGATAACATTGACAACACTCGCTCTCTGTCACTTTCTCACACTTCGTGTTTATGGGGTCATTTGATAAATAACACAGGGTACCCATCCATTTCGCACAGAAATCATTCATTTATTTCCTTGGAAATGCCTGAAMACTTGACGTTCAACATTTGCTGTGTCTTGAAGGAAATCCATTCTAAAACAAATATAGATCAATAGATTATCATAAATTGATATCAAATATTTATTWACTGTCCAAAATCCAAGCGCTCGCTTGATTTTGCTTTGTTTGGAGATAAGATGACAATGACACATAACGATTTGTGMCATTGAAAGATTTAGCGATTTGAAGTTTTGGGTGTTTTACGATGTTTTGAAATACGAAAACACACAGCTTTAACTTGGACGTCACGTATTTGTGCTGTGTGGTTAGCTTTGTCAGAGTTTTCTTCAAATATTAAATGAAACTGTTTGTAAAAAAAGAAGTTTTTGCGATGTATTTAACTAATTTTGGACCTCTTAATTACGTTTATTTCATTCAATTTAGTCGTGATATTGATATTTTTGCTCATATTTTTTGTCTGTCATCGTCAAAAGTCGTGTATTGTAGTGAGCTCAGATTGAATATTAAAAGGGTTAAGAACTTAAAGTTTGTGTTTTGCTTCATCACTTGCAGTATTAGGAGATTTTTCGTTGATTGTGCGATCCGCGCGTGTATTTGTAAACGAAACACTTACAACAGTCTCTAACCTCTAAATAGCCACTAATAAGTGGCAAGGAAATATTACTGCTTACCAAAACAAATCACGATGCATCGAGGTGTTGCTTTGAAGTAAATAAAGAAATAGTACATAGGAATTCCAAGAAATATAAACACAAGAGGAATTGACGTCTCCACTGGTGCGTCGACGAACGGTGTGATGGTGAGGTACAGAGAAATGAAGAGAAACAACACGGGGATGAAGATTGGAAGCTGCGGCGAGAGATTAATAAAGGATTGTTATAGTTCGCAATATCTGAATACAAGTAAGGAATGTTTTGTCGTTCCTTTAATATGGTTAATTGTTGAGACACACCATCTAAGCTAAGACTATTCATAGTAGCCAATGTTCCTGATGGCAATAAAAGAAATAATGAAGTGCCTTTCATTTCAGTGACCAAAAAAAAAAAAAAAAAAAAAGGAAGAAAAGAAAGAAAAAAAATAGATTCGCAATTTAGCTAGCCCCAGCTATGATTGCATCGATGGTAGAAACGAGCCATTTTTAACGGTAGAAGAAACTAGGTTCGGCCATGTAATAGGACGCTTGCATGATGGCGTCATTTGACTCCAACTACCAAAATGCTTCGCGAATTTTCTTTCTTATTTTAATTTGCATTCCCTCATAAGGGCCGGGTTGTTCAAAGCTGGATTAGCGCTTATTAAGAGTTAACCCAGGATTAGCACTAATCGGTCTTTGAACAACAGGGCCAAGAATAGTAAGAAAATGGCCGCTGATTTCTGAAAGTGCCTATCACCCTTCTGACAATATTCTCAGTATTGATTCTACATGGGGTAACATTACATAGTTTGAGTGCGGCTTCTTGAAGTTGTGAAGGTTTTTCCATGTCATATGCTAACGCTGTGACGTATGAGGATGCATTTATGGTTATTTGCTGTTCCTTGTAATTCGAAACACCGGCTTCTATGGGAAAACTAACTTGCAATCATTTCTATAGGAGCAATGGGAAAAACAATGACGTATTTCAAATTTAATTTATTTGTACCAGTAGTGTTTTGTATATTAAATGATTACTCCTCATACGTCACAGCATTAGCATATGGCATGGAAAAACCTTTAAGACTTCAAGAAGTTGCACTTAAACTATATATTTTTTTAGTGTTATTCAACATCTTATCCCATGTAGAATTAATACTGTGAATATTGTCAGAAGGGTGATAGGCACTTTAAATGTTCGATATTTAAAATATATCACACACATATATATGTAGACGACCGAACTCCAATCTTAAGAAAAAATTACTTTTAATCAAACCAACCAAAAAAATATGTCAGAGATTCATGGATAAACATCGAAAAACTACTAAACATTGATAAAGATCAGGCCAGAAGATTAACAAAAGACAGAAAAGCCTTCAAACGACTTCTTTTTAAGAACTTTAATCTAGAATAGAATAGAGTCCCCGTTGTTCAGTAAATTGCTGTTAATGATGGAACAGAACTGATACTGATACTGAATTGCTCTATTTCATAATGACGTCACGGTTTGTTTACATCGGCTAAAATGATAGAAATTTAGGCTAAGTTAAAGCTTAATTCTCTTCTTTCTAGATATTTAGAGTAATATTTAGTTGTTCTTGCCTTCAACAGCTCATAAACCAAATTTTATTGTGAATTAAGATGTGTTGTCATTCCATCCCCATCAAGCGATCATGATTCCTAGTGTTAAAACAATAGTTTGTTTTGATGTGACGTCATTATGAAATAGGACAATTAACTGAACAAAAGAAAGTGTTCAAGGGAGTATGGTAGTAGAAGTCAATGACGCCATCATGCAAACGTCCTATTGTTACACACGGTCTTTCCTATAGTTTTTGCCAAAGGATTCCTTGGACATCCCTGAACATATACATTCAAATCTCTCTTACCTTAAAAGGTCTCGGTAAATCAGGTTTTTTGTATCTCGTCCACAGCAAACCAATCACCGTCAATGTGTAAGTCAGCCATACAGCAGCGCTGAAGATTTTCATCAAATTCTGAACGGTACTCGTTTTTGGTATCAAAAATAAGCATGCTATGATAGTCTACAAACAAAGAAATATAAAGAAATTGCAAGTACGACATGAATAGTTTATACGCTCATGAATGTGTTTGCCTGTAGACGCTCGACTGGGCGACAGAACAATAACATTTCCAAGGACTTTGGCACTAGGCTCAAAGCAAGGAGAACTAATAGGAGAATGTGTTTGCCTGTAGACGCTCGACTGGGCGACAGAACAATAACATTTCCAAGGACTTTGGCACGAGGCTCAAAGCAGGAGAACTAACAGGAGGATGGAGACCGTTTTCTCTCTACAAAATCTCAGTTCTGAAATAATATGTTAACTATTCGTACTGATAAAATCAGAGCAGGAATGGGTGTTCTTTTGTTGGTGTGAATCATGGCCAGGACTGCTGGAAGATGACCTTCGCGAGCTGCAGACAGCATCACCCTGTGGAGAAAGAGATTGAAGAACAAAAATGATGACTTAAAGAAGACTAATATGACCAGGTGTTCTGACCATCACTACTCAATGTCTCTACTCATTGTTAATGCATTAGTGTATTTATAGACTTGTGCTATACTTAACTTGCTGAAGAGAAAGAATTCCCATTTGAAGAGCCAAAAATAGAACACGCTACTAACGCGGGTACGATCCATGCCACTTGGAAACCGTACACACGTTGAACTACAGACTGAAGTAGAGCCAATTCATGACAAAAAAAAAACAAAAAAAAGAAGAAGAAGATTTAAAGTACCAATAATGTAATTATGTATTTGAATGATAGTAAGTGATTTGCCGAAATACGAGGAATTCCTTGCATGTTAGGATCAAGTGTTGGAAAAAGCACGTTTATAGCATTTTTGTTATATAGCAACGACAGCGTATATGAATAGCGTACGTTTATATGATAGTAAAATCAGCAGGGCACACTGAACTTTTACAGTACTGAATTGGCGACATTACTTCAGCCAATAACATTGCACGAGAACACTGCTAAAACAACCCAGTGCTTGGGCAAGTTATCTTCAGTTTTTCAGTCTCGTGCAAAATTTTCTTTCAAATTAAAAGCACCGGTCGTCCAGCTGATTTGAGAACATTTTTTAACCAATCAGAGTTGAGCCAATTTCTAAAACTGAGGTGTCTTTTTTTTTTCTACTAAAAAATATAGATTTCTTGGCCACCAAAATGAAAAAAATTATGTTACTAATAAGAGCTTGGTATTAGTGAAGCAAAGTAATTAATGAATTTTATAGCGGAGCACCATACTTAAGAAAAAATGGTAAACCATCGAGTTGATTTTTCATGGCTTGGCTGACGTCACTTCCGTCCGTCCGTCCGTCC